ACGAAATGTGGAAGGGGTGCGCCGATATGGAGGTGGAACTGCATGCGGACCCTGCCACTGGGGCCTTCCGCGGAGCACCCTATGGGGCCACGAAACGTGTGAGGGGTGCGCCGAAATGGGGATGGAACTGCATGCGGACCCTGCCACTGGGGCCTTGGGTGAAGCACCCTCTGGGGCCACGAAACGTGTGAGGAGTGCGCCGAAATGGACGTGGAACTGCATGCTGACCCTGCCACTGGGGCCTTCCGCGGAGCACCCTATGGGGCCACGAAACGTGTGAGGGGTGCGCCGACATGGGGGTGGAACTGCATGCGGACCCTGCCACTGGGGCCTTGGGTGGAGCACCCTATGGGGCCACGAAACGTGTGAGAGGTGCGCCGAAATGGAGGTGGAACTGCATGCGGACCCTGCCACTGGGGCTTTTGCTGGAGCTCCCTATGGAGCCACGAAACGCTGTAATGGGTGGGTGAAACGCAGGGAGGAGGGAGGAGAGGGAGGAGGAGGAGGGAGGAGGGGGAGGGGGGAGGGGGGCAGCGGGAGGAAGGTGGGAACGCGGGGCGCTGTCTCTTCAAAACGAGGACCCAACACCACAGGATTGTTGGGAAAAACTGTACGCGGAGGGGGGCCGAATATTTCCCGGACGCCGGCAGGGAAGAGAGGAGATTAGTACTCATATTGTGTACTTGTAGAGGGGGAGGGAAGGAGAGGGAGGAGGGAGGGGCGGAGGGAGGGTTGCCGTTGTTTAGCGCCCGAAGTCAAGGTGAAACAATAATCAAAGGACCTCCCCCTCAGAATCGGAGGAGGGATGAAGGAGAGAGGAGCGAGGCAGAAGAAGGGAGGAAAGAGGGAGAAACGAGGAGCGAGAAGGGATGGGGAGAAACGAGGAGAGAGACAGAAGAAGCGAAGAGGGAGGAGCGAGGAGGGAAGCGGAGAAAAGAAAGAACTGGCACGAAACAAATCGGCCTTTGGGGAAGCGGGTCCTGGACCTCGGGATGTCACCAGCCTTCCGTCCCGAGCCGTGCTCAGACTACGGCCAGGGCCAGTGGAAAATCCCGGGAGCCCGAAAGCAGCAAGCAAAACTTTGGACCCGTTTGTGCGTCCTGGCGAGGAGTCGACGGCGCGCCGGGAGGGGAAGCGACAGGGGGCAGGCCTTCTCAGAAGGCGGCGGGGCTTCTCGGAAGCCCTCCAGCCTTCTGAGGAGCCGCCCTGTCTTCGGAGAAAGCTTACAGAACGTGTCAGCAGCCCAGAGGCCTTCTCAGCCTTCTGGGGGACTAGAGGCCTCCCGAATGGGGTCCGAGTGTGATCAGACGGGATCGGCAGATCGCGCCGCATCGCCGACGCATCGGCGATGCACCGTCGACGTCGGCGATGCACTGGCGGCGTCGACGTGGAGAAGATCGGGCGCCGCACCGAGCCGCATCGCCAGGCACATCGGCGGCGCGGCGCGATCCTCCGACCCCGTCTGCTCTAGGGCGACGAGATCTATGCATATCCACTGCTCCTGGCCAGGCCCATCCTGGGCCCAGGAGCTGTGTATATGCCTCCCTGGCCAGGCCAGGAGGGCGTATACACCGCTCCTGGGCCCAGGATTGGCCTGGCCAGGAGCAGTGGATATGCATAGATCTCGTCGCCCTATGCTCGGACCCCATGCGGGGAGGCCCAGAGAGGAAGGCACGCCCCCTCTGCTTTCCCCACGGGGCGCGCCGCCGACAGAGAGAAACGCGTGGCAGTCCGTGCCCCACCGGAAGCGGCCGACCTCGGCGCAGTTCTCTAGGGGAACGAAAATTAGCATAAACACAAAAACTCGGAGGTCCGCGCGGATTTCTCGGTGTCACTTTTTGTTCCCCTATTCTCGCACCTCGTTCACTTCGTTCGGGAGCTCCCGAGCGAAGTGAACCCCACCCTCCCCCTCAGAAATCGTGCCCCCTAAGAAGCGGGCGGCAGTCCGAGCCCCACCGGAAGCGGCCAACCTCGGCGCAGTTCTCGCACTTCTCGAGGTCCGCCGGCACGGCCTCCGAGGCCGCCGCCTCGCACGCGGGCGGCGCCGAGCTCAGCCTGGAGCACACCACGGCGAGGAGGCTGCCCGGGCGCTCGAGGTCTTCGTGCCCCGCCTCGGGTGCGAGAGTGGGAAGATGCGCCGGCACAAGTCTTAGGTCGGGCATGTTCCCACACAGGCAGATTTTGGAAGAAGAATCAAAAGATAGTCACCAAAATACCCCAAAACGGTCAAAAATAGTCCAAAAATCATCCCCATACTGTTTCTTGACCACTCTTGAATCCTCGTCCTGTGGAGGGGCATGCCCGACTTGACACAGCTCCTGGGGAGGTCCGCGCGGACCTCTCGGGTCGGCGCCGCACCCACCCCCTCCCTCGCACACCACGCCACTTCCCAGGGGGGGCACGGGGGGCGGCGCCAGGGGCGAAGTCCGGCGCGGGCCCCCCGAGAGAGCGCGTGCACGTGTGCGGCTGCTGCACTCCCAGCTGCGGAGGGCGCCAGCCCTGCACTCGCACCGATCCTGGCTGGGCCCAGCCTGGGCCCCGGATCGGCTCGAGCATCGTTGAACCAAATGCCCATCCCCAGCGGCGTGGCCTGGGCCCCGCTGGCCGATGGACCCCCCTAGACGGGGATGCAGGTCGCTCCCTTCGGGTTTCGAGGGGTGCATCCCCAACTGGTGGGGTGGTAATTTGGTGGGGGTCTCGAAGGGGATGGAGATGAGGATGGGGATCGGTTGAACGATACCGAGTCCTGGCGGCTTGGCCAGCAGGGGCGTGGTTGAGGCCTCCCAGAGCCTCCGTCCAGACGGAATCGCACAAGTCGGCGCGGGGGCAGGTCAGGGGATCGCCGTCCAGGAAGATCGCCGGCAGCCCACTGGCGTACCGGGTCCGCGACATGGTGCGCGTGATGGCCTCGCCGTACGCTCCCCCCGACAGGAGAGCCTCGGCGTCGCCGCCCTGAGCGCACGCCTCAAGGCCCTGGCCGCCGTCCCACCGCAGGTCGGCCAACTCCGCGCAGGCCGTGGCGTTCACCTCAGTGCTGGCCCTAAACACAATGCTTCTCGTTCTCGTTCCGTCTTCGTCTTCCTTCGCTCTGTCTCCCATCCGCAGCTGCTGCAGAACGAAATCGAGACGGAAACGGCCCACGAGATTGCCGAAACGCCGCCTGGGTCGACCCCGGGGGCAGGCCAGGGAAACTGGGCGACGCGGGCGCCCGTGGGCGGAGAGAGCTGGGCCCCTGGGGCGGACGGCTCGCGCGGGCCTGGGTACAGTCCACCCGTGTGACAAGGACGCACGACGAGGGATGTTTTGCTTTTTATTGTTTGTGTAATAAAAAAACCATCGCCCACATGATTCCGATAATTAAACCATGCGCTTAGAACCTGAATCAAACTCTGCTCTCGTAACCGACGGGAGCAGCGTCGACCCTGAAGCGAATCGGTCGAGCCTTGCGAGGGATGCAAGGGCCCTGGAAGGCAAAAGACGACGCCCTGCGAGCGGGGCGCGGCAGGCGAGAGCGGCCAAGGATGGGCCTGAAGGGGAAGGCTGCGAGGATCGGGAGCGGCCAAGAGGGGGGTGTGAGGGGGGGGTGCAAATCATGACCGGCGGCATGTGCGCGGCCCAGCGGGGGGGCCAGGGACGTAATGAAGTAAGAAGAGGCGCCATGAGATCTGGAGAGATATCATGGCCCCCGCCATGATATCCACCTCACCCTAGTCATCACCCCCCTCTTTGCCGCCCCCGATGAAGGGGAAGGCTGCGAGGAGCAGCCCTGGTTCGACCCATGGCTCGCCTGGCCCCGCCGGAACTCGGCGCTGGCGCGGCAGGCGGCGAAACGCACGCCCGCGGCCAAGCCCTGCGAGTCCGCCGGGGCGGCGCCGCCGAGCACGCCCCGGAGGGCGCACAGGTCCTGGGAGCGGGCGCCCGCCACGCCCCCGCACCGGTCGTGAGCAGGCCCACCCCGGCAAGACGAGGCCATCCTCCTCCTCCTCCTCCTCCTCCTCCTCCTCCTCCTCCTCCTCCTCCTCCTCCTCTCCTCCCTCCTCCTCCTACTCCTCCTCCTCCTCCTCCTCCCTCCTCCTCCTCCTCCTCCTCCTCCCTCCTCCTCCTCCTCCTCCTCAGGACGAGGATCAGATCGGGCGAGGACAGGCCGCGAAGCTCTGAGACGTGGCGGCTCTGGGGCACGTCTCGGGCGCCCGCCACGCCTTGGCGGCGCGCACAAGGGGGTGGGGGGAGGGGGGAGGGCTTCTTAGAAGCAGGCTGCTTCTTAGAAGGCGCTGGCCTTGCATCTATAGATGAGGCCCGCGCCTCCTAAGAGGCAGGGGTGCTTCTAAGAAGCCCTCCCCCCTCCCCTCACCCCCCTCTGCGCGTGGCTGAACGCCCCCGCACTGGTCGTGCGCAGGCCCACCCCGGCAAGAGGAAGCCAGGGCGAGGAGCGGATCGGGCGAGGACAGGCCGCGAATCTCTGAGACGTGGCGGCTCTGGGGGCACGTCTCGGGCGCCGCGGCCTCCTCTTTGAGAGCGTCCCGGAACGCTCCGAAAGGGAGTATCGCCTCGTACTTCGGGGCACCGAAGGGTGCCGATATCGCCACGCCCTGGCCGGACCTCTTGAGGGGTGCGTTCTGGCCAGGACTTCGAGGCGCATCCGGCGGTGGCGACGAGGGCCTCCGAGGGGAAAACGAGGGAAGCGTAGCGACATCGGTACCTTTTCCTCCTCCGAGTCCGAGCTCGCCATCGCTCGGATGTCCATCCCCGTGCACTGTTCGACTTCTTGCGTGCTCTTTTCCGCATCATGATCCGAGATGCTCCTCGAAGGCCCTCGCCGAGGAAAAGATGCACACATCCGAGCGATGCCGAGAGCCCCGCCCGGCCTGGGCCCAGGGCCCCCGAGGCAGGAGGCCCTCCTGGCTCTGGAGGGGGGGGCGTGTGGGCACGGGCCGGTGCTCCTCAGCACGTGTGTGCGCGCCAACGGGTGCTTGCCCTGCGAGGCCCTTCAATACAGGGCAGTTTTTGATACATCGGATGTTCTTAAAATATAGGATTTTTAATACATGATTAATGTATGGATAAATCTATGCATGAACTCATCGTTGTTTTCAGTACAAAATCCCTGCATTTGTTTACATGATCCGCACGCGGAGCATGCATCAAAAACGGCACTGGACGCAGGCGATGTGACGAGCTGCCTGCAGGGCTGAGCGGGGTATGAACACACGCTGGGCTCGCACACGTCCCGAGCACCACCGAGCGGGGCGGGCCCCCGGGCAAGGCCGGAGCGGGCACGCAGGCGGGCCCCCCTCCCCCTCGAGGCTCCGGGAAGGAGGCGTTGTCGGCGGGCGTCGGGAGGTACGGCCTCTCGACGGCGACGGCCAGACCACAAAGGGGGGGGGAGGGGGAGGAGATAGAGGAGACCAACGGTTACGTGTTGCGTGTCTGCGCCCACCCCCGGCTGGCCGCCCCGGCGCGCTCATGCCGAAAATTCTGACATCCGTCAGCGCCCTAGCCCTCCTTTTGGTCCTCCGCGGCCGCTTCTCCTCGTGGCGCGCCCCCCCTTGCAGCCAGAGAATTATGGTCGGACCTAAGACAGAAGAACATGCCTCAAGAACAGGAAACCGTCCGCCGGAGCACACTGAAGAACATTCGAGGGTACCCTTCCCAAGGAGGATGCACAAGAACATGCAACAAGCACGAAGAGCTCTGGGTTGCCCTCCCCGAACCGACCTCGATCTCATACTTCGGTCCAACCGTTCGGCGACTGCTACAGCGGCGGAAGCGGCAACGGCGGCTACGTAGAGCGGCTGGAAATTACCGCCTTGGCAACTCTTCGAGCCGCATCCCGCCGTGGCCCACAGGAGGGCCCCCCAACCCGAAAAGTCCCAACAGAGACGACGACCACGACGACGACGACGACGACGACGACGACGACGACGACGACGACGACGACGACGAAGACGACGACGACGACGACGACGACGACACCCTCCTCCAAGGGTCTATCACAATGTCCACCAGCCCCCGAAATCCAGGAAGCCCTTGGCAGGTCTCTCGGAGCCACCCGAGGTCCCAAAAAGGCTTCAAAAAACGCTTCAAAACATCCCTCCACGAATCCCGACTCGCAGGCCGGCCCACCCGACGAGAGGACGGAAAGAATTGTTGCGATGCCCAATGGGACGCACAGAGACACACTAATACTATGTCCTGCTTGGAGGCGCGCGTCCGACCCGAACATATAGTATACCCATTGTGTAATATATCGTGTCCCAAGCGGTACGGCCAGAAAGCGCCCGCCACGACGCACATACTATAAGATGTCTCGGTGCGCGCGTCGCCCCTGGGGGGGGGGCCGCACCCATAGTACTAGTGTGTCGGGGTGACGCCGACACAACGTCAAGGGTTGCGCCAAGACCGCCAACGCCACTGCTGAACAGGCGACGCTCGCCCCAACCGGGCAGGGCCTTTGGCGACACCGACGGCAACCCTGACGGAACGCTTGTCGATCTCGGCCCCTGCTCTCTTTATCCCCCCGCTCCCCGAGATCCGACGCCGCGACAAACGCACAGCGCCGTGAAACTTCACGACCGCAGCCCTGGACCCCCATCTTCTTGCGGCACCTCCCGAGCTGGATCCGCCTGCGAGGGCCCCAGGGGGGGGGGGCCCGAGGCTGGGCAAAAAAACGCGCCCAGCGCGAGAGGAAGGGTGAGACGCTGGAGACCTCTAGAGTCAGGTCGAGCATGTCCTCCTTCAGGCGGATTTTGGGCGAACTGTGGAAAACACTCACAAAAATCACCCTGTGACGTACCCAACCCATTTGTATCAATGGAAACGAGGAGTTGGCCGAAACTTGTATGGACAATCAACTTGATGTGTAAGCTACTTGAGAGGCGTCACTGTGCTGGGCCCCGCAAGCAGGCCTCGAAAGTGGCGACAGTTTCACAGATCGCAGCCCCCCAGGGATGGCGAGATCAAATTTGAATCTGCGGTGGGTACCCACTGTGCTGGGCCCCCCAGCAGGCCTCGAAAGTGGCGACAGTTTCACAGATCGCAGCCCCCCAGGGATGGCGAGGTCTAATTTGAGTCCGCCGTGGGTACCCACTGTGCTGGGCCCCCAGCAGGCCTCGAAAGTGGCGACAGTTTCACAGATCGCAGCCCCCCAGGGATGGCGAGGTCCCATTTGAGTCCGCCGTGGGTACCCACTGTGCTGGGCCCCCCAGCAGGCCTCGAAAGTGGCGACAGTTTCACAGATCGCAGCCCCCCAGGGATGGCGAGGTCTAATTTGAGTCCGCCGTGGGTACCCACTGTGCTGGGCCCCCCAGCAGGCCGCGAAAGTGGCGACAGTTTCACAGATCGCAGCCCCCCAGGGATGGCGAGGTCCCATTTGAGTCCACCGTGGGTACCCACGGTGCTGGGCCCCCCAGCAGGCCTCGAAAATGGCGACAGTTTCACAGATCGCAGCCCCCCAGGGATGGCGAGGTCCCATTTGAGTCCGCCGTGGGTACCCTCTGTGCTGGGCCCCCCAGCAGGCCTCGAAAGTGGCGACAGTTTCACAGATCGCAGCCCCCCAGCTGGCACGCAGCGACGAGCGAGGCGAAAAGCAGGGGGGAAGAGAGGGACGGGAGGGGGTGGGAAGGAGACGCGCGAGCAGTGCTCTATTCAAAACGAGAACCCAACGCAGGAGGGTTGGGAAAAATACTCAAAGAAATACTCGAAAATAGTCGAAAAAACATCCCCTGACTATTTCTTGGCTATGTTTGAGGGACAGGCCCGACTAAACTCTAGAGCCCTGCTGAATGGGGTCCCCGCCGATGAAATCCGCGGGTCGCTCCGCATCGCAGGTGCATCGCCGATGCGGCATCGGCGGTGCATCGGCGACGTCGGCGGTGCACTGGCGCCGTCGGCATGGAGAAAGTGGGTCTGCACACCGAGCCGCATCGACGATGCACCGGCGATGCGGCGCGATCACCCGACCCCATCGTCTGCGGCAGGTTCGTGCCATGAGATCCCTGGCGGTGGCTTCTGAAACCCCTGGATCGCTCAGCCTTGAGGATCGGCGGTGGACAAACCTCCCTTTAAGAAACCTCCCTTTAGTGAAATCGGGCTGGGACCGAAACCGGCGGACCTGGACCCGCAAAAATGACGGCCGCGACGCCCTCTCGCGAACCGAAAACGGCCAATTCCTTAATCGACGTGTCAGGGTAGGAGGTCTGTCCACCCCCGAGAGGCGACGGCGGCTGCTGTCGCCAGATCGTCCCAGACTGGCCGCTCCTGCGCCACTGGCGACGGCCAACCGTGCACGCCCATACGGCGGGGTCTCGCCGCCGCGCCGGCACGGCACGAACGCCTGCCGCGCACTCCGGCCCGCTGTGGGGAGGCCTGTAGCCTCGGAGGGCTGCATGGCCCTCCCAGGCGAGAAGAGAAGTAGGGGGCCACGTGCGAACCCTACCCCTGCCCCCCACGATTTCTGAGGGGGAGTGTGGGGTTCACTTCGCTCGGGAGCCCCCGAGCGACGTGAACCCCAACCCTCCCCTCAGAAATCGTGCGGGGTAGGGGTAGGGTTCGCATGTGGCCCCCTAAGAAGGGGCAGGACCAGCCAACATCTGGGTCGGGCATGTCCTCCTACAGGCGGGCTTTGAACGGAAATGAAAAAACAGTCCAAAGAAATCTTCAGATGGAGCCGACAAATAGTCAAAAACCGTCCCCAGAGACACGTTTCTACTACTTTTGAATATTCCTCCTGTAGAGGGACACGCCCGACTTAAATCAACATTTAATCGAACAATCGGACCAGATCGGAATCCGTGTCGAATCGGACTGCACCGGCACGGAGTCGGCATCGAGTCGCATCGGCCACGCCAGGATGCAAGACGGCGCCATGCGGGCAACGGGCCACTTCGGATCCTCGGAACATCCGAATCGAATCGGATCGGGCCAGTCGACCCTGGGAGGGAGCATTCGGCTCCAGAGCGTCAGCGTCGTGGTCGTCATCGCTGTCGTCGTCGTCGTCGTCGTCGTCGTTGTCGTCGTCGTCGTCGTCCCTCCTCAGGGTCGGCGGCACCGGCCGTAAGTTGGCGGCGAGCCCAGAGGGGAAGTGAGAAGCGGCGGGCCTTCTCAGAAGGCTCCGAAGTCCCCCAGCCTTCTGAGAAGAATTCTAAGCCTTCCTCGGAGACAGAGAACACCCCTCGGAGGGCGCGAAGGCTTCTGAGAAGCACCAACGCCTTCTGAGAAGGCCTTTTTGTTCCCTCTCGCTCCCTCCCCTCCCCTCGCTCGCCGAATCAATCCCTCCCTTCTGAGAAGGCCATTCTCTTCCCCTCGTAATCGAATCGGCCTTCGCAATCGAACCGAATCGCATCGATCGGACCGCACTGGGCCCTGGGCTTAGGTCGGGCATGTCGCCCTACAGGCGGTTTTGAACGAAAAATAAAATTGACGACAACAACAACAACAACAACAACAACAACAACAACAACAACAACAACAATTACTAGCACGTGGGGACACTCCGTTCTCACCAGTGCCAGGGTTTTCATAGGAGGCGGGCAATACCCCCACTTTGTGGGGGGGCCGGTTCAAGCTCTACCAAATTTCCAAACGACTCTTCGCCACCACCCACACCCAGCTTCCCGCCCTATGACGTTCGGACACTTCACTTCGTGGCATGCGGACGACCGTGGCTACTATTCAGGGCCCCGCGGCCGACGACGACGGCGTGCGCGCGCGAAGAAAAAACGAATGTGTCCCGCATGGTATTATTTGACAGGGATGATGGCCCTGGCAGGTGCGCAACCGTTGTCGCAGAAGTTCGAAAAAGTTGCTCGCAAAAGCCCGTTTGACAGAAATGTTTAAAAAGTGTTGGGTTTCCTACGAATCCGCAAGAGCGCGCGGGATGAGATTTTGACATTTTTTGTTGAAAAACCATTGGTTTTTTGATGTTTTTATGTTAAAATCGCTGCGAACACTAAGGTTTTGGAAGGATTTCGTCTTGCGCGCGCGAATGTCCACTTTACCTTATTTTTTGCAAGGGATTCTTGAAATTTGATTATATTAGAACAAGAAATGTCATTTTCTATTGTTTTTTGCAAGGGAAAGCGGATTACAACAAAACAACCGGATCCTGTACACACCCTCTTTTCTGAGGCTTCCTCACGAAAATGATGAAAATGTAGCTGCGGCCTAGGCGGCGCAGGGGGGGCGCGCACCAGGGGGCCCAACAATAATTATTCTTTAGAATAAATAATGTTCAACAACAACAATTACTAGCACGTGGGGACACTCCGTTCTCACCAGTGCCAGGGTTTTCATAGGAGGCGGGCAATACCCCCACTTTGTGGGGGGGCCGGTTCAAGCTCTACCAAATTTCCAAACGACTCTTCGCCACCACCCACACCCAGCTTCCCGCCCTATGACGTTCGGACACTTCACTTCGTGGCATGCGGACGACCGTGGCTACTATTCAGGGCCCCGCGGCCGACGACGACGGCGTGCGCGCGCGAAGAAAAAACGAATGTGTCCCGCATGGTATTATTTGACAGGGATGATGGCCCTGGCAGGTGCGCAACCGTTGTTGCAGAAGTTCGAAAAAGTTGCTCGCAAAAGCCCGTTTGACAGAAATGTTTAAAAAGTGTTGGGTTTCCTACGAATCCGCAAGAGCGCGCGGGATGAAATTTTGACAATTTTATATATAAAAAAAAATGTTTTTTGATGTTTTTATGTTAAAATCGCTACGAAAACTAAGGTTTTGGAAGAATTTCGTCTTGCGCGCGCGAATGTCCACTTTACCTTATTTTTTGCAAGGGATTCTTGAAGTTTGGTTATGTTAGAACAAGAAATGTCCACTTTAGCTTATTTTTTGCAAGGGAAAACCGATCGTAACAACACAACCGGATCCGGACTCCCCCGTTTTGCCTGAGACTTCCTCACGAAAATGATGAAAATGAGGCTGCGGCCTAGGCGCGGCGGGGGGGCCGTGCACCAGGGGCCCCAACAATAATTATTCTTTAGAAGTAATAATGTTCAACAACAACAACAACAACAACAACAACAACAACAACAACAACAACAACAACAACAACAAAAACAACAACAAAAACAACAAAAACAACAACAACAACAACAACAACAACAACAACAACAACAACAACAACAACAACAACAACAACAACAACAACAACAACAACAACAACAACAATTACTAGCACGTGGGGACACTCCGTTCTCACCAGTGCCAGGGTTTTCATAGGAGGCGGGCAATACCCCCACTTTGTGGGGGGGCCGGTTCAAGCTCTACCAAATTTCCAAACGACTCTTCGCCACCACCCACACCCAGCTTCCCGCCCTATGACGTTCGGACACTTCACTTCGTGGCATGCGGACGACCGTGGCTACTATTCAGGGCCCCGCGGCCGACGACGACGGCGTGCGCGCGCGAAGAAAAAACGAATGTGTCCCGCATGGTATTATTTGACAGGGATGATGGCCCTGGCAGGTGCGCAACCGTTGTTGCAGAAGTTCGAAAAAGTTGCTCGCAAAAGCCCGTTTGACAGAAATATTAAAAAGTGTTGGGTTTCCTACGAATCCGCAAGAGCGCGCGGGATGAAATGTTGACAATTTTTTTGAAAAACCATTGGTTTTTTGATGTTTTTATGTTAAAATCGCTACGAAAACTAAAGTTTTGGAAGGATTTCGTCTTGCGCGCGCGAATGTCCACTTTACCTTATTTTTTAAAAGGGATTCTTGAAGTTTGGTTATGTTAGAACAAGAAATGTCCACTTTAGCTTATTTTTTTGCAAGGGAAAACCGATCGTAACAACACAACCGGATCCGGACCAACCCGTTTTGCCTGAGACTTCCTCACGAAAATGATGAAAATGAGGCTGCGGCCTAGGCGCGGCGGGGGGGTCGCGCACCAGGGGCCCCAACAATAATTATTCTTTAGAAGTAATAATGTTCAACAACAACAACAACAACAACAACAACAACAACAACAACAACAACAACAACAACAACAACAACAACAATTACTAGCACGTGGGGACACTCCGTTCTCACCAGTGCCAGGGTTTTCATAGGAGGCGGGCAATACCCCCACTTTGTGGGGGGGCCGGTTCAAGCTCTACCAAATTTCCAAACGACTCTTCGCCACCACCCACACCCAGCTTCCCGCCCTATGACGTTCGGACACTTCACTTCGTGGCATGCGGACGACCGTGGCTACTATTCAGGGCCCCGCGGCCGACGACGACGGCGTGCGCGCGCGAAGAAAAAACGAATGTGTCCCGCATGGTATTATTTGACAGGGATGATGGCCCTGGCAGGTGCGCAACCGTTGTTGCAGAAGTTCGAAAAAGTTGCTCGCAAAAGCCCGTTTGACAGAAATGTTTAAAAAAGTGTTGGGTTTCCTACGAATCCGCAAGAGCGCGCGGGATGAGATTTTGACATTTTTTTGTTGAAAAACCATTGGTGTTTTGATGTTTTTATGTTAAAATCGCTACGAAAACTAAGGTTTTGGAAGGATTTCGTCTTGCGCGCGCGAATGTCCACTTTACCTTATTTTTTGCAAGGGATTCTTGAAGTTTGGTTATGTTAGAACAAGAAATGTCCACTTTAGCTTATTTTTTGCAAGGGAAAACGGGGGACAACAAAACAACCGGATCTGGACCACATCGTTTTGCCTGAGACTTCCTCACGAAAATGATGAAAATGAGGCTGCGGCCTAGGCGCGGCGGGGGGGCCGCGCACCAGGGGCCCCAACAATAATTATTCTTAAGAAGAAATAATGTTCAACAACGACGACGACGACGACGACGACGACGACGACGACGACGACGACGACAACAACAACAACAACAATTCAAACCAAAGCAACACAAAACAACAAATCCATTGACTATGTTTTACTGCTTTTGAAAGTCCCTCCTGTAGAGGGACAGGCCCGACTTAACCCTGGGCGGTGCTGACCCGCTGCGGCTCCCCGGCCCACGGGGCCCCATAGCCTCGTGGGCACGAAGGCCCCCGCAGGCCACGGCAGCACCGTGACGCGAACCGCCGACCCCGGCAGCCCGGCGGCCAGCAGCGCGCCTCCGGCAGGGCTTCGGAAGAGCGGCGACGACGACGACGACGACGACGAGGACGACGACGACGACGACGACGGCGACGGCGACGGCGACGGCGACGGCGACGGCGACGGCGACGGCGACGGCGACGGCGGCCGCGGCGGCGGCGGCGGCGGCGCAGGCGACGGCGACGGCGACGGCGACGGCGGCGGCGGCGACGCCGACGGCGGCGTGGTTTTTTGGGGGTCTTCCAGGCGCTCATGGGCGCGCTCCAGACGCCCTGGCGAGGCGGCTTGCTCGGAGGTGTGGCCAGTGGTAGGCCCTGGAAGGGACCCCGGGGGCTGGTTCTGAAGCGAGTCTCTGGCGGGGGGGCAGGAGGGTCGAGCGGGGGGCTTGTCGCTTCCCATCGCTCGGACGTCCATTCCCCATGCATTTTTCGGTTTCGTGCGTTTACGTGTGATGATCAAAGATGCTCCTCGATGGCCCTCGCCACGAAGAAATACACACGTCCGAGCCATGCCAAGGGTGGATAGGGGGGGGCCAGGCGGGCGGCGGGGGGGGGGGAGAGGTGATCCTTTGAGAGGGCAGGGGCTAACACTCCTTCCTTCAGGAAGGCCGTATCAGACCACGGGCGTTCATGGCGACAGCAGAACCGAAGAACCGACCGAACAGGCAGCGAGACCAAAGCCGACCGAAAGCAGCCCAGAAGGACGCAGCAGCGAAGCAACCGAACGAGCTGGACCGACCGAATGCCGCCGACTGCGAAGCGGTCGAACCGACCGAACCGCGGACACGCTTGCAAAAGACTATGATACCTTCCAAAAGCGCCCTGCCTTCTTGAAGGCCGCCCCCCTCATCCCACACCCCCGTTTCTGCGCGCCAGTCGCGCGCCCAGCGAGCGGTTCAGGTAGGGCCCGCTCTTGGGGCTGGACGGCGAGTAGTAGAACTCCACGGAGACCTCCGGTATCCGAGAATGCTAACGTCTGAGGGTCGAGGGTCGAGGGTCTGGGGATGTCTGGTGCTTTTTGTGGGGGGTCCTCGCAGCCATGGATGGATCCGCCTCGAGATTCTGGTCAGAGCGCCCCCCAGGACGGAAGTCTGGGACTGGGCGGCTACTGGCAGAGCTCCAGGGGGGGGCTGGGCCTCCTCCTCCTCCTCCTGCTCCTCCTGCCCCTCCTCCTCCTCATCCTCCTCCTGCTCCTCCTCCTCCTCCTCCTCCTCCTCCTCCTCCTACTCCTCCTCCTCCTCCTCCTCCTCTCTCCTCCTCCTCCTCCTCCTCCTCCTCCTCCTCCTATTCGTCATCCTCCAGCTCATCCTCCTCCTCATTCTCCTCTTCTTCCTCCTCGCACAGCCAAGCATCATTCATCATCATCATCATCATCATCATCATCATCATCATCATCATCATCATCATCATCATCATCATCATCATCATCATCATCATCATCATCCTCATCATCATCATCATCATCATCGTCATCATCATCATCATCCATCATCATCATCATCATCCTCATCCTCATCCTCATCCTCATCATCATCATCATCATCATCATCATCCTCATCCTCATCCTCATCCTCATCCTCATCATCATCATCATCATCAACACCAACAACATCATCAGCAGCAGCATCATTATCATCATCATCATCATCATCATCAGCAGCAGCAGCAGCACATCCTCAGCAGCATCATCATCAACAGCTTCAGCATCATCATCATCATCATCATCATCATCATCATCATCATCATCATCATGAGCATCATGAGCATCATCATCATCATCATCATCATCAGCATCATCAGCATCGTCCTCATCCTCATCAGCTTCAGCATCATCCTCATCATCAGCAGCAGCATCAGCATCATTATCATGATCACCACCACCACCACCATCATCATCATCAACACCATCAGCAGCAGCAGAATCAGCATCATTATCATCATCATAATGGTCAACCGCATCAGCATCATCATCATCATCAACAGCATCATCATCAACATCATGAGCATCATCATCCTTATCATTAGTAGTAGCAGCAGCATCGTCATCAGCATCAGCATCAGCATCAGCATCATCATCAACCGCATAATCAGCAGCAGCATCATCATCATCATCATCGTCGTCATCCTCATCCTCCTCATCATCATCGTCATTAGCAGCATCAGCAGTATCATCATCACCACCACCATCATCATCAGCATCATCAGCAGCAGCAGCACAATCAGCATCAGCATCATCGTCATAGTACTAGTAATAAACAGCATCATCATCAGCAGCATCGTCATCAGCAGCAGCATCAGCAGCATCATCATCATCATTGCCATCATAATCAGCATCATTATCATCAGTATCAGCATCGTCATCGTCATCATCATCATCGTCATCAGTATCATCATCATCATCATCATCAGCAGCAGCAGCAGCAGCAGCAGCACCACCATAATCATCATCATCATCATCATATCAGCAACAGCAGCATCAGCATCATCAGCAGCAGCATCATAATCATCATCAACGGCATCATCAGCAGCATCATCATCAGCATCATCAGCATCGTCAGCATCATCAGTATCATCGTCATCATCGTCATAAGCATCATCAACAGCAGCAGCATTATCATCGTCATCACCGTCATCAGCATCATCATCGTCAACATCATCGTCATCGACATAATCATCATCATCACCATCAGCATCATCACCATCAGCATCAGCATCGTCCTCATCCTCATCAGCATCAGCATCAGCATCCGCATCAGCATCATCAGCATCATCATGAACATCAGTATCATCATCATCGTTATCATCATCATCATCATCATCATCATCATCATCATCATCATCATCATCATCATCATCATCAATATCGGCATCATCAACATCAGCAGCAGCAGCATCAGCATCAGCATCAGCACCAGCATCATCATCATCATCATCATCATCATCATCATCATCATCATCATCATCATCATCATCATCATCATCATCATCATCATCATCATCATCATCATCATCATCCATCCTCCTTCCTCCTCCTTCATCCTCCATCCTCCTCCTCCTCCATCCTCCATCCTCCTTTCCTACTCCTGCTCCTCCTCCTCCTCCTGCTCCTATTCCCCCTCCTCCTCCTCCTCCTCGTCCCCCCCTCCTCCTCCTTCTCCTCCTCCTCCTCCTCTCTGCCCCCTTTTTTTTTTTTTTTTTTTTTCTTTTTTCTTTTTTTTTTTTTTTATCTTTTCCATACCCCCCTCCTTCCCTTTCCCCTTCCTCCCTTTTTTTTTTCTTTTTTTTTTTTTTTTTTTTTTTTTTTTTCCTCTTCTTCCCCCCCTCCCCCTCCCTCTCCGCCCCTTCTTTTTTTCTTTTTTTGGTTTTTTTTCGCCTCCGCCCCCCCGCGCCCCCCCCCCCCCCCCCCCCCTGCTCTCCTGCCGGTACTCTCCTCTCGCATCGGCCCCTTTCCCGGCCCCGGCGCGCCCCCCCCCCCCCCCCCCCCCCCTGGGCCGGCCCCCCCCTTTTTGTTTTTTTTTCCCTTTTTTTTTTTTCCCCCCCCTCCCCCACCTCCCCCCCCACCTTTTTTCGTTTTTCTCTTTCCTTTACTTTTTTTTTTTTCTCCCCCCCCCTCCTCCCTTTTTTTTCCCCCCCTTCTCTTTCTCCCCCCTTTCCCCCCTTTTCCCCGTTATCCCCAGCTCCCCAGCCCTCCACTACCCGCCACCCCCCCCCCCCCCTCCCCCCCTTTTCAATCATGTTCTCCCCCCTCCTCACCGTCCCTCCTCATCCCCCTCCTCTTCATCCGAAGTCGACGACGACGCCGACGACCCCGCCGCCCAGCCCATCCCTTCGAGACCCCCCCAGACCTGCGCTGGAGCGCACTCCGACCATGGCCTCGAAGCGAATCCGGCCGTGACGACGCCAGGGCCCCACCCAATGGCCCAAACTCACAACGGCCCCCTAACCTCCGAAGTCGTCACGATTTGCTTTTGCCGTGGACCATGAAACTCCCGACCCCCTCTTGGGCGTCGCGTACTGGAGGGGCGATGCATGGGGGAACAGCGAACGAAAGAACAAACGAGAAGCCTAGCGCCAGACGGCGCGCGAGCAAGGTGAAACAGGGCGCCGCGATGTCGAATTGCGGTGCTGCCCTGTGTTCGGGCACCAACATCTCACTGCAAAAAAGGAGCCTTTCAGGGCCTGAAAGGGGGCCCTCAGGACCAACAAAAGTGCGCCTTTTCTCCCCCCCCCTAGGGGGCCACATGCGAGCCCTGCCCCTACCCCCCACGACTTCTGAAGGGGGAGGGCGGGGTTCACTTTGTTCGGGAGCCCCCGAGCGGAGTGAACCCCACCCTCCTCCTCCGAAATCGTGGGGGGCAGGGGCAGGGCTCGCACGTGGCCCCCCTATTCAGGGCCAACACAAGTGCGCCTTTCTTCCCCCCCCTCCTCTGAAGGGGCCCTGGGACACACAAACAAATAGACACAAATAATAGGATTCTCCATATTTTCTCATATTTTCTGGGTTTTTGTCTTCCCCCCCACTTCCCATATTTTCCCATATTTTCTAGGGAATCGACGATTAATTGTGTCTGTGTGTTTTTTCCTTTTCTGATCCTCATCTGTCGCCCCCCGTTGAGCGACGCCCCGCCCTCCGCGCCCCGGCTCCCGTCCCGGGCAGCCTGGCTGCAGACGGCCCCGGGGGCCCGAGACGTGCTCCTGCAGGCCGGGGGGGCCGCCGGCGCCGTCGCCGCGCACGGCGATCCCCCCGCCGCCGCGACAAAAATCACGGCCAGGACCCAGCGAACGAGGACAGCGATGTTCAAGACGCGCCGGCTCTTGGAGCGAAAGGCCAAACTGAGCGGAACGTTTGAAAACGGGCAGCACCACGGAACAGCAACGGAAGAAACGAACGAATTGAACCCTCTTCCTGTAGAGGGACAGGCTAAAGTAGTTGGAACATCATGACCCCAGGCACGAGTGAGCGCTTGTACGCGGCCTGCCCGGGCCGCGGGGGGCCAAACCCAGGCGCGCAGGCTGGTCTTGGCGGGGGGGGCCCTGCTTGGCCCGCACCAGGCCACTCCTGGCGAAGGGGACCCCTCCGCCACCTCCTCCTCCTCCCCTCCCATCCTCACTCCTCCCTTCCTCTCCCTCCCTCCTCCTCCTCCTCCCTCTGCTCCTCCTCCTCCTCCTTCTCCTCCTCCTCCTCCTCCTCCTCCGCCTCCTCCTCCGCCTCCTCCTCCTCCTCGTCGACTCGTGCTCGTCGCCGTGCGCCGGTGCCCGCCAAACACGGCGGCGGCCCTCGCCGCCAGTGGTCGCTCGTCGCCGTGGTATCCGCCGGGCCCCACCGGGGGCCTCGGGCGCCCCGGCCGCGCCCGCGAGCAAGGCGAGCGCGGCGGCCAGCAGCAGCGGTGGCCGGGGCGCGCGAAGCGCGCGGCCGCAGCCCGAGTGCCTCGGCATCGCGGCAGCGGCGGCGGCCCGCCGGGGGAGGGGCTCCCTGCGCGCGGGGGTCGGCCGCGGGGGTCGGCCCTGCAGTCCAAACGTGGCCACGAGAGCGCGGGCCACGAACATGGCATGAACCCCCTCGCCGAGGTCCCGAGGCCGCACGGAGATGCACCTACCCCAAACGGAGAGCACTCCAGGGCGGAGGGCTCAGGCGCGAAAGACATCGGGGCATGTACCCCTCAAAAACTGGGCGTGCTCCTGACATCGAGCCGGCTGTAGGCAGGAGTGCCCTTTGATGCGCGGCTTGCCGACCGCTGCATGCGATGCGACCACGGCGGCCGGATTACTCGGGTATGGCACCCCCAGAGGGCCTCGCATCAGAGGTACTCCGGCGAAGGGTGACTCGGTGACTCTTACGTGAGCACCCTCTTGGGCCAGACTAGCGCTCTCCAGGGCCGTCTTGTGCCATGATGTACCATCTTAGGGGCCGCTTCGAACCGTCTTGGGGTCGTCTTGGTAACGTCCGGGTTCATCTTGGGCCCTCTTGGGACCTCTTGGGCCGTCTTGCGCCCTCTTGGGGCGCCCGCGAGCGAACCAGGACGGTCAAGACCGAAGATGAGGCACACCACCTCTATACGCATAGAGACCTGATCGTAATAATATGCATATGTATATATCTGTGTAAATATATACATGCATGTGTATATATAGATATATGTATATATGTGTGTGCGTGCATGCATATATATATAGATGCTAGCCGTATGGACCCAAACAGTTATTCGGTGCAGTACGAAGTGAAAGCTATGCGATGTAAGCTATGTGGTGGAAGCTATGCGATGTAAGCTATGTGACGTGAGCTATGTGGTGTAAGCCATGCGGTGCGTGCTGTGCAGAGTAAACTCTGGTGTGCAAGCTATGCGGTGTATGCTATGTTGTGAAAATTGCGCGGTGTAAGCTATGTGGTGTGAGCTATGTCGTGTAAGCTATGCGGCGCATGCTGTGCTTTGAAAACTATGGTGTGCAAGCTATGCGGTGTTAGCTATGTTGCGAAAACTACGCGGTGTAAGCTATGTGGTGTAAGCTATGCGGTGTAACTTGTGCGGCGTAAGCTATGTGGTGCAAGCTATGTTGTGAAAGCTATGCGATGTAAACTATGCTGTGTCAGACACGAGCCAACTACGGGCGGCGACGCGGCGAAATCGAAACACACACACACACACACCAAGTGGACGACCACGAGGCGGCAACCAAAACCTGGGGGTAGGGGCGGGGAGCAGGGAGGGGCGGGAAGAAAATGGTGCACCGTCAAGAGACATCCACATCCACAGATGCCAGCACTGCCCCGGATCCCTGCGGAAAAATCGATATGGATAACTTCCCGCCCTCACGAGTGGGCAGATATGCATGTCCACCGCTTCTCGAGAGGCCCTCGACACTCCAGGGCAAGACCCCAAGACGGTGGATATGGATGACTTCTGGCGGTGGAAACGGTGGGCGGAGGTGGGGCTGAGGATGGCACCCCTTTCAGCACGCGAGGGGCCAAACTACAGCGGGGAAAACGCGGCCGACATCACAGTTCTTTGGTCGACCTCCAGCGTGCGGAGACACTCCGCAGAACCAGCAGACCAAATCTTCGCCGTGCCGTCGTCCGACGCAGTCAGTACCGCTTGCCCGTCGGGCGAGAACACGGCCGACCACACGCCACCCCGGTGGCCCTCGAGCGTGCCCAGGCACCTTCCAGAGCCGGCGGACCAGACCTTCGCGGTGCGATCGACCGATGCGGTCAGCACCTGCTGCCCGTCGGGAGAGAAGACGGACGACCAGACACACACACGGTGGCCCCGCAGCGTGCGGAGGCATTCTCCTGAGCCCGCACACCACATCTTCGCCGTGCCATCGCGGGAGGCGGTCAACACCTGCTGCCCATCCGGCGAGAACACGGCCGACCACACAATGTCACCGTGGCCTTCCAGCGTGCGCAAGCACTCAGTAGTGTCCGCGGACCATATCTTCACTGTGCCATCACTGGAAGCCGTCAGAACCTCGCGCCCACAGGGCGAGAACGCGGCCGACCACACGCTTCCCATATGGCCACCAAGAGTGACCAAGCATTCTCCAGAGCTTGTGGACCAGATCTTCGCAGTGCCGTCCTTCGAAGCGGTCAGCACCTTCTGCCCACTGGGCGAGAACACGGCCGACCACACACCATCCTGGTGGCCCTCCATCGTGCGCAAACACTCCCCAGAACTCGCTGACCAGACCTTCGCCGTGCAGTCATCGAAGTCCGAAGCGGTCAGCACCTCCTGCCCATCCGGCGAGAACGTGACCGAAGTCACCTGATCACGATGGCCCTCCAGCGTGCGGAGGCACTCCCCGGAACCCGCAGACCAAATCTTCGCCGACCCATCAGAGCACCCAGCCACCACGTGAACCGCTTGGCGGCGCGCACAGGAGGGTGGCGCGAGGGGGCGGCCTTCTAAGACGCCAGGGGGGCTTCTTAGAAGCCCTCCAGCCTTGCTCGCAGGCCCTCTTGGAGGACTCCGAGCCCTTATGGGAGCCTGCGAGCCTTTATGGGAGCCTGCTGCCTCCTTGGAAGGTCGACGCCCCCCACCCCAACCCCGATTCGCCCACCCCTCCAGGAGACCATCCTGGCCAGTTCCTGAGTCGCGCTCTTGGGATTATCCTTGTTGCCACGTCGTGCAGCGCACGCTTGCGAAATACAGCTGCAGGACTTGCTGTAGACAGGTGTGCGTGCATGCAAAGACATGTGTCGCTGGGCAGTCCGTGGCCGCCGAGGCCAGAAGAGATCTTCGGGCAAGTCCCAGAACCAGGGCGGAAAGAATTGCGCAACGACAGGTAAAGAGCTCTTTGGCGGTGCGCAGAAGGGGGTAGGTGGCGGGGGGAAGGATACTTAGAAAGAGGCTGCTCCTTAGAAGGCGCTGGCCCTACATCTATACAGAAGGCCCGCGCCTTCTGAGAAGCAGGGGCGCTTCTAAGAAGCCTTCCCCCATCCCCCTACCCCCCTCTGCGCGTGGCCGACTCTCGTCTCACCGTGCCGTGGCGACGAAAATCCCCAGAGAAGCCCCAAGAGCCTCCAGAACGACGGCGCCAACACCCTCGCACGCCTGGCGCGCATCCGGGTGGGCGCGCCACCCTCCCCTTCTGCGCGCCGCCGAGATCGCCCCGGTCACCACCAGACTCAGCTCGGCGCCACTCTCGGCCCCCACCTCCGGTGGTCGCCGAGCCGACCACGCCACCGCGCCCTGGCCGGGCCCACTCTTTGAGCAGGGACCGACCGTCCCGGCATTCCTATAGCCCTACCACGAAATGTTCCTAGAACAAAAACAATGTTCTTAGAACATACACCCGACGTGATAAAACAAGACATATTCAACCAGAAATGTTCTAAGAACACCTCGTGGAAACCACAAGAGGTCCTTAGAGCATTGTTTGGTAGGGCTATAGGCGAGCCAGGACGCCTCGCCACTGCTTGAACTCTGGGCCCAGGATCGGTGCCTGCGCCCTCTAAAACAAGACTAGGATCGGGATAAATCGCTCCAGAGCGTTCCGGAGCGCTCTCAGAGCGTTCCGGAACGCTCTGGAGCGGCCGCGGCGCCCTTTACATCCTCCAAACCCGCCGATTCTCAGAGATTTCGAGTTATCCCGATCCGATTTTGTCCCGATCTTCGCGTCGTTTTACCCTCCTGGCCCGGCCAGGGGGGCAGGCACGCCGTGATCCTGGGCCGCGGACCGGCCCGGCCAGGCTCCCAGGCCACCCGGCTCCGCGGTCGCCGCGCCCTGCGGTGCGCGAGGCGCGCGAGGGACACCCTTCGCGCCCCCGCGCCGCCAGCCCCTGGGGGGGGGGCCAGCTCGGCGGCCCCGGCCTCGCGCGCAGGGCGTGGTTCTCTCTTCGCGCCCGCCGGGGGGGGGGGGACCCGGAGGCTCGGTGTGGTGGTCCGCGCCACGTCCCCCGAGAGGCCTCGGCCAGGGTGGCGCTCCCGCGCAGCTCCGCCCCGCCGCAGAAGATGCGCCTCCGGCTGTCGAGCGGCCCGCCCTGCGCGGGCACCGCCGCGAGCACGTCGCGCAGCTGCCACGACGGGTCGGCATCCAAAGCCGCGGCCTCTGGGAGACAGAAGGGCGTCGGGGAGCACAGCACGATACAACCGTGATCCACACTGTGAGGATCGCGCCTGCCAGAGGTGGCGCCGGAGGCGCAGTGGTGGTCCAGCGCCGCCCCAGTGCATCTGGCGCGGAACTCCGAGAGGCTGTGCGTATGTGGTTTTGGGCACCCGGCCTCCAGATGGCCGCCGAGGCCGCCTCGGGCCGGGCCTTGGGTGCACGGGGCGTCCCGACCCGGCTGGGAGCCCGAAACGCACCTAGATTTAGGTCGGGCATGTCGTCCTACAGGCGGTCGTTGGAAGGAAAATAACGAAGAGTCAAATAGTAATCAAACATGATCGACGAATAGTCGAGAAATCAAATAGTCGAGAAATCGTCCCCAGACTAGTTCTTGACTCATCTCGAACACTCCTCCTGTGGAGGGACACGCCCGACGCAAACCAGGATCTGGCCGCAAGATTGGCCCGCGCAGGCCAGACGGCTGTGTCCACGCGCCCCTCTCCCGAGGCCTCGCGCCCAGCGCAGGTGACCACGGACACTCGCATGCCGAAGCGGGACGCTCGGGCGGGCGTCGAGGCGGCCCGAGTCCAAGCGGCTGCGAGGGGAGTCCGCGGGGGCGGGGGCAAAGAGGAAGAGAAGGAGAATGGTGATGGTGATGGTGATGGTGATGGTGATGGTGATGGTGATGGTGATGGTGATGGTGATGGTGATGGTGATGGTGATGGTGATGGTGATGGTGATGGTGATGGTGGTGATGGTGATGGTGATGGTGATGGCGATGGCCATGGCGATGGCGATGGCGATGGCGATGGCGATGGCGATGGCGATGGTGATGGCGTGATGGCGTGATGGTGTGATGGTGTGATGGTGTGATGTTGTGATGGTGTGATGGTGATGGTGATGGTGATGGTGATGGTGATGGTGATGGTGGTGGTGGTGGTGGTGATGGTGGTGGTGATGGTGATGGTGATGGTGATGGTGATGGTGATGGTGATGGTGATGGTGATGGTGATGGTGATGGTGATAGTGATGGTGATGGTGATGGTGATTCAAACGCAGAAGGACGTAGTAGTACTACGTGTCCTCCTCGGAGGCGTGCGTCCTACCCGAACAGACTGTGCATCAGTATTGTAGTATACCGTTTCCCGAGCGGTACGGCCAGAAAGCGCCCGCCACAGAGCATGCACTATAAGAGTGAGCGTTCTCGGCGCGCGCGTCGCCCCTTCGGGGGCGACGCGCACATATCATCAGTATGTTTGGATGGCGCCGAGTGACGGTGATAGCGATGGTGGTGGTGGTGATGGTGGTGTTGATAATCATGCGACGCCCATGGAGGCGATGATCACCAACATACCCAAAGACTGCCTGAGAGCACTCAAGAGAAAGTTATCCGTCACGGCTACTGCCCCTGGTAACTAATCGGGGGGAAGGATGAGGACTAGGAGGAGAAGGAGTGTCCAAACAAGATTACATTCGTAGAACGAGCGACTTGGACCACAGCAGCGGATCGATGCTCGATGCTGATCTGCGAGTACTGCAGATCGATGTTCGAATACCCCCATGATTTAGACAAGCCTATCGGTCTCGCATTCGAAGCTCGCAGGGCTGAGCTCTCCTGTAGAAGCCAAATGGACCCGATCCATAAAACAACATGGTCGCACAGAGATGAACAGTAGCTCGAGCTTGACCTCTGCCCTCAGCTCGAAACACCGTGTGGAACCTGGAGGATTTGACCAAAACGGCTATGGCGCCCCTGGTGCGTACACTCGCAAGAAGAACTCTGAGCATCATGAGCTTGTGGGCTCGGCGGTCCGCGCGCATTTCTCTCTGGCCAGCGGTGAACCACCCTCCCCGCACCCCTCCCTGGGCACGCGCAGCGCGCCGGAAGCAGCGCCAGAGGCGCCGCCAGGGCACGGCGGAGGGGGCCCATCGCTGACCCAAGCAGGCCGCGCGGACCTCGCTTCCCGCAGCAGGAGCACGCCAACGGTGCATCCACACTGGCGCGCGGATCGCGCCAGAGGCGGCGGCGGAGGCGCCGCCAGGCGTGGAGCGGTGCGCTGACTTCAGCGCGGACCTTGAAAACATGAATGATTATCCTGATTATCCTGTTTGCCCCCCTGTGCGGGGTGGCGATAGGCGGTCAGCCAAAATGGGACTGGTTCCAACCGGCTCGGACGAATCCAAATCAATTTGGGGCGGACCCTTTTCAGCAGATGGTACGAGCTCCAATCAACCATCCACGACTCTCGAAATATCAAAGATCTCTAGGTCTTACGAAGAAAAAAAGAACCGCTACGCCTTTGAAAATTGTCCTGGCGAGAGACCCAACCATATGCAGTTGTGCGTGCCGCAATTGTGAATATCTTCTTCGGTGAAGCTCCCTATGGGCCACGAAACGCTGCAGTGGGTGGGGGGGGAACGCATGCGGGCGGTAGCACTGGGGCCGTCGGTGGAGCTCCCTATGGGGCCACGAAACGCTCTACTAGGTCGGTAAAAATGCCAAATTGGATGTTTCGGAACGCATGCGGGCAGCAGCACTAGGGCCTTCGGTGGAGCTCCATATGGGGCCACGAAACGCTGTACTGGGTGGGGGGTACGCATGCGGGCGGTAGCACCGGGGCCGTCGGTGGAGCTCCCTATGGGGCCATGAAACGCTGTACTGGGTCGGGGGCACGCATGCGGGAGGTAGCACTGGGGCCGTCGGTGGAGCTCTCTACGGGGCCACGAAACGCTGTACTGGGTCGGGGGGACGCATGCCGGCGGTAGCACTGGGACCTTCGGAGGCGCTCCCTATGGGGCCACGAAACGCTGCACTGGGTTGGGGGGACGCATGCGGGCGGTAGCGCTGGGACCGTCGGTGGAACTCCCTATGGGGCCACGAGACGCTGCATTGCGCGGGGGGGGACGCGTGCGGGCGGTAGCACTGGGGCCGTCGGTGGAGCTCCCCATGGGGCCACGAAGCGCTGCACTGGGTGGTGGAGACGCATGTGGGCGGTAGCAGTGGGGCCGTCGGTGGAGCTCCCTATGGGGCCACGAAACGCTGTACTGGGTGAGGGCGACGCATGCGGGCGGTAGACCTGGAACCTTCGGTGGAGCTCCCTATGGGGTCACAAAACGCTGTACGGGGTGGGTGGGACGCATGCAGGCGGTAGCACTGGAGCCTTCGGTGGATCTCCATATGAGGCCACGAAACGCTGGGTGGGGGGGGGACGCATGTGGGCGGCAGCGCTGGGACACGGTGGAGCTCCCTATGGGGCCACGAAACGCTGGGTGAGGGGGACGCATGCGGGCGGTAGCACCGGGGCCGTCGGTGGAGCTCCCTATGGGGCCACGAGGCGCTTAGTGGGTGAGGGGGACGCATGCAGGCGGTAGCACTGGGGCCGTCGGTGGAGCTCCCTATGGGGCCACGAAGCGCTGTGCTGGGTGGGGGGGACGCATGTGGGCGGTAGCGCCCGGACCGTCGGTGGAGCTACCTTGGGGCTGTAGAGCCTCTCCCCAACGACCTTGTGGAGTCCCTGGACAGCGCCGACAGGGCGCTGTGCCGGAAGGCATATTATAAGGAGGGGCATGTCAGGCCCTTGGCTGCAGGAGCGGTGAAGACCGCCGCAAGGTGCACCACGGGAAGTGACAAGAGCTGAGCGTGCGCTCGCACGTGGACGAAGTTTCACACACACACACACACACACACACCTTGAGACGCCTCGAGCCTACCTTGGGAAGAAGAAAGGGGCTACGAAACGCTGGGTGGGAGGACGCATGCGGGCGGCAGCACTGGGGCCGCCGGTGGAGCTCCCTGTGGGGGGCCACGAAGCTGTACTGGGTGAGGGGGGACGCATGCGGGCGGTAGCACTGGGGCCGTCGGTGGAGCTCTCTACGGGGCCACGAAACGCTGTACTGGGCGGGGGGGACGCATGCAGGCGGTAGACCTGGAACCTTCGGTGGAGCTCCCCATGGGGCCACGAAACGCTGCACTGGGTGGGGGGTAAGCATGCGAGCGGTAGCACTGGGGCCTTCGGCGGAACTCCCAATGAGGCCACGAAACGCTGGGTGGGGGGGACGTATGTGGGCGGTAGCGCTGGGACCTTCGATGGAGCTCCCTATGGGCCACGAAACGCTGGGTGGGGGGGACGCGTGCGGGAGGTAGCACAGGGGCCGTCGTTGGAGCTCCCTATGGGGCCACGAAGCGCTGTGATGGGCAGGGGGGACGCATGCGAGCAGTAGACCTGGAACCTTCGGCGGAGCTCCCTATGGAGCCACGAAACGCTATACCGGGCGGGCGAAAATGCCAAAGTGGATGTTTCGGGACGCGTGCGGACGGTGGCATTGGGGCCTTCGGTGGAGCTCCCTATGGGGCCACGAAACGCTGTACTGGGTGGGTGAAAATACCAAATTGGATGTTTTGGGACGCGTGCGGACGGTAGCACTGCAGCCTTCGGTGGAGCTCCCTATGGGGCCACGAGACGCTGTACTGGGTGGGTGAAAATGCCAAATTTGATGTTTCGGAACGCATGCGGGCGGTAGCACTGGGACCTTCGGTGAAGTTCCCTCCCGATGGGGCCACGAAACGCTGTACCGGTCGGGTGAAAATGCCAAATTGGATGTTTCGGGTCGCGTGCGGACGGTGGCATCGGAGCCTTCGGTGGAGCTCCCTATAGGGCCACGAAACGCTGTACTGGGTGGGTGAAAATGCCAAATTTGATGTTTCGGGACGCACGCCGACGGTAACACTGGGACCTTCGGTGACGTTCTCTCCCTATGGGCCCACGAAACGCTGCACTGGGTGGGTGAAAATGCCAAATTGGATGTTTCGGGACGCACGCGGACGGTAGCGCTAGCCCCATTCGGTGGAGCTCCCTATGGGGCTATCACCCAGCAGCACACCACACATGCGCAGTCCGGCTGTATACCTGAAGTAAGCTGCCTTCCACTGGCGGTCTCCGAGTAGCGGTGGTGTCGCCACGGTGGTGCCCCCAGGGATCGAGGCCTCAGAATGGTAATCACGCGTCTCTTCGGATTGCGCATCAGATTGTGCCCACCTTGATGATGTCGCAACGGCCGTTGGGAGAAAGCCGCAGGAGCTGACTGGCGCACGCGCCCCCCTGATCTACGGGCGGCGTCGCGGGCCCGCGCTGCAGTACGGGAGTTCCGCCGACGTGCTGGAGGACCAGTGCATGACGGGCAGCCACGAAACGCTGTACTGGGCGGGTGAAAATGCCAAATTGGATGTTTCGGGACGCATGCGGGCGGTAACACTGGGGCCTTCGGTGGAGCTCCCTCTGGGGCCACGAAACGCTGTACCAGGTGGGCGAAAAGGCCAAAATTAATGTTTCGGGACTCATGCGGACGATGGCACTGGAGCCTCCAGTGGAGCTCCCTATGGGGCCACGAAGCGCTGTGGGCGAAAATGCGAAATTGGATGCTTCGGGACGGTAACACTCGGGCCTTCGGTGGGGTTCCCTATGGGGCCACGAAACGCTGTACCAGGTGGGCGAAAATGCCAAATTGGATGTTTCGGGACGCATGCGGACGGTGGCGCTAGCCCCTTTGGTGGAGCTCCCAATGGGGCCACGAAACGCTGTACTGGGTGAGTAAAATGC